TGTGTGTGTATATATTACTGGGGATTGAACTCAGGGACACTCTGCCACTGAGTTACATCTCTAGCCCTGTTTATTTTTATTTTGAGACAGGGTCTCACTAAATTGCTCAGGTTGGCCTTGAGTTTCTGCTCCTCCTGCCTCAGCCTCCTGAGTAGTGGGGATTATAGGTGTGCACCAGGCACCTGGATTGCAGTTCATTTTGACTATATTCTGTTACATAAATTCAGTGTGGAATTTTCCACTTGTGGAATCATGTTGGTGCTCCAAACATTTTAGATTTAAACAGAGCATTTTGGATTTCAGATTTTTGGATTTGGAATGCTCAGCCTATGTAACAGTACTTGCTAATATATGTTAATTGTTTATATTTTGCCAGTTCCATACCAAGTGCCTTATAAACATTATCTCACTTAATTTTCACAACTACTTGAGATTATTTTGATTCTTTTTGAAAAATAAGACTGAAGAAGCTTTTTTATAGTCACACAGCTAATAGCTGGTAGAGCTAGAATTTAAACGTTTATTAATTTTGGTCCAAATCTCATAGTCTCACTCATATTCCATTGTTTTGGGGGGATATCAAGGCTTAAATCCAGGGGTGCTTAACCACTGAGCAATATTACCAGTCCTTTTTTATTGTTTGGGACAAAGTCTCACTAAGTTGCTTAGGACCTCCCTAAGTTGCTGAGGCTGGCCTTGAACTTGCAATCTTCCTGCCTCAGTCTTCCAAGTTGCTGGGATTACAGTCATGTGCCACCATGCCCAACTTCATATTCCATTTTAATTAATAAGTACAATAGGTGTTTCTGGGACTTTGACTACTTGGTTTCCAAACAGAAAATGTTTGTGTGGTGAATACTGTATGATTCTGACCATGTGGACCATGTCTTTCCAGGTTTCTTGGAGTCTCTGCCATGTCCATGGGCCAGACCCTTTAATGAAGGCTGTAGAATCATCTTCCTGATCCCAGTAGCTCCAGTTGAGTCTACAGACCCTACCAAACTTGGAGTTCCTGGAAAGAGTGGAGTTGTCAGCAAGAGAGCCCTAGAGCTGAAATCCAGTGTGAACATGGCAGCCAGCCAGAATTTGCCCCAGCAAGGAAGACATGGCAATGCCTGTGAGGTGAGGAGAGGAGGAGGTACCCAGGGGCAGAAATTAATTCATAACTTCAGAACCTGAGGGAGAGACTTTATATTATTGTTTGATTTGTAATACTTTTTACTAGGCAGGATCATTTTCACTCCATTTTTATATATTTATTTATGTTTTGATGATGTTGAGATTGAACCCAGGGCCTAATGCCTGCTAGGCAAGTGCTCTACCACTGAGTTACACCCCAGCCCCTCCATACTTTTTTTAATTTAAAAAAAAATTTTTAGATGTTGATGGACCTTTATTTTATTCATTTATTTATATGTGGTGCTGAGAATCGAACCCAGTGCCTCACACATGCTAGGCAAGTGCTCTACCACTGAGCCACAGCCTCAGCCCCCCCCATATTTTTTATTGTTTACTTATTTCCCTTTTATGAATTTTCTTTTCCTATCCATGCTTATTTATTTATCTTAGCCTATGGTTTTTTAAAGGTTTTTTTAAATATTAAGGTTAATAACATTTACCGTTCTTGCATGTTTTGTGAATATTTTTTCCACTTTGTAATTTGCAGTTAGCTTGCAGTTTTGTTTACAAGTGGTGAAGCAAATAATTTGTATAAAATCTGGGGTATCAATTAGTTTTTTAAAGTCTTGTTTGAAAAGTAATCCTTTCCTCTTTTACTTTCCCCTAGATTCCAGATCCTTAGAGGCAAGCACACTTAATATTTTAATGTGTTTTTAAAGTTTTCAATACCTTCTATTAACTTCCCACTATGAAAGATAGATATTGAGCTTTTCTATATACTCCCACCCCACACACATATTCATTTCCTATTACCAGATTCTCCTTGGATAGATACAGCATATATCATTATTTGGGTAAAGTGTTTGTCAGTGTTTATTATTGTAACAATATGTAGCTAAGTCACATATTATCCATGCAGTGATTACTACTTATGTAATATTTTTTTTTCTTTTACCTGCAATTAACAATTTTCTAATGAAGTCATTTGTTTGCTTTACTATGTACATATTAGTAATTCAACTCTAAATTCTTCCCAAGTGTTTAAATCTTATTTTCATATAGTCAAACACATTAGGTAATAATCGTAGTGATAATACTTTTTCTGTTTACTTATGTACTTATTTTTGATTGCCAAATGATAATTATATAAATTTATGGGTATAGTGTAATTTTTTTTGCTTAACCACTGAGCCACATCCCCAACCCCTTTCTGTGTTTTATTTAGAGACAAGGGTTTCGCTGAGTTGCTTAGGGCCTCGCTAAGTTGCTGAATGTGGCTTTGAACTTGCAGTCTTCCTGCCTCAGCCTCCCAAGATACTCAGATTACAGGCTAGTGTCAAAATACCTGGCTATGTTTTTTATTTTAAATAGCTCTTTTTGCTTTCAGAATATTTTCTTTCAATAATGTGCTGTTTTTATTTTACAGATGTAGCACTTATTACTCAAAGGATAGTATTAATAATTTTTAAATTTAATTTTTAAAATATTTATATGGACATATGGCTCCAAAAGTTTAAAAAATTTGAAAGCTGTATAGTCTAAATTTTCTTATCCATATTTCTTCTATCTGTTCATCACTCCCTAATACACATAAGCAGGTTAATTTTCTCTATTTGATTATAGTTGCTTTAAGTAAATTTTAAAAGGGCCGAGGAGAGGATACATTCTTATTTTCTCCTTTTTCTTTCACAAAATGTGGCCACCCAATTTCATAATTTTTTGTTAATTGAAAATATTTTCGTGAAATATAGCACAATTATAAACCATGCTCCTATGAGCACTTTTTTGGTACTGGGGATTGAACTCAGGGTCACTTTGCGAGTGAGCCACATCCAGCCCTTTCTGTATTTTATTTTTTTAAAAAAATTTAAAATACTTTTATTTGTAGATGGACACAATACCTTTATTTTGTTTGTTTTTATGTGGTACTGAGGATCAGTACCACACTGATGTGTGCCTCACTGATGCTAGGCAAGTGCTCTACCACTCAACTACAACCTCTGCCCTTTGTTTATTATTTTGAGGCAGAGTCTCACTAAGTTGCTGTGGTTTCACTAAGTTGCCCAAGCTGGCTTTAAACTTGTGATTTTCCTTCCTTGGCCTCCCAAGATGCTGGGATTACAAGTGTTTCCTACTGTGCCCAGTCTGAATACTCTTATTTGTGTCTCCTCGTGCACATGTGTACACCCCCTTTTAAGTATATGCATACAGGTGAAGTTAATGATTCTGAAGTTCAATCTATATTTTTAAAATATTTTTTAATATGAAATACATACAGAGAATTATACTAAACAGATGTACAAAGCTGAATGATTTATCATTATATAGATCTAGAAAGAGACTCTTGGCAGCTTTCCAGAATCCCCCTACACTCAAAGATAACTACTATCCTGACCTTTATGATAATTACTTCCATTAAAAATAAAATCACAGTCCACAGAGTGGGAGATGATATAAAAAACAGAAGATGGGGCTGGGATTGTGGCTCAGTGGTAGAGCACTCGCCTAGAACGGGCGGGACCTGGGTTCGATTCTCAGCACCACATAAAAATAAAGGCATTGTGTTGTGTCCATCTACACCTAAAAAATAAATATTAAAAAAAAAACAGAAGATATTGGGGTTGGAGTTGTGACTCAGTGGTAGAACACTTGCCTAGCACATGTGAGGCACTAGGTTCGATCCTCAGCACCACATAAAAATAAATAAATAAAATAAAGATGTATAAAAAAAGAAAAACAGAAGATGTTGATCCAAAATATAAAGAACAACAAAACAATAAGAAAAGCAGACTTCCCAGTAGTCAGAAGCCTTACTAAACAGATATGTAACAAATGATTATACCTAAATGGCTAGTCAACACCTGAGACAATGCTCAGTCTCATTATCACCAGGGAAATGCAAACTTAAACTACCATGTAATATCACTACACCCCCACCAGAATCACTAAAATTAAGATTGACAGTGACAGTAACAAATGTTAGCAAAGATGAAAAGCATCCTGAGCTCCCATAAACTGCTCCTGGGAGTATAAATTGAAATAATCTGGAAACATTTTAGCCTTATTCATCAAAGCATATGTTGATCATATGAGGAAACAGTTCTCTTCCTAGGAAAACACCCAATAGAACTCCAGGTACCTTAGTACCAGGACACATTTATCACTGCTCATTGTTGTATTACTTGTGATAGCCAATGATTGGAAATGACAAAGGTGTTAATCAATAATAAAATGGTCCAGTAAATTAAACATATTATTGAATGAAAGAAGCCAAGCATGCAAGAATGCATTTTGTTTCAATTTAAGTTTTTGTCTTGTTTTGTGTTTTGCAGCGCTGGGGCCTTGTGCATGCTATGCAAGCACTCTACCACTGAGCCACATCCCCAGCCCTTATGTGAAGTTTTAACATAGGAAAAACGAACAAACAAACAAAAAACAAAACCGTATTTGTAAAGGGGTATATGCATCATTGGTAAAACTAGAAAGCAAAAGAAGGAAGTGCTTGCCATTTTAGGCAGGACAACAATTTTATTGATTAGTGGAAAGGGGGAGGAAACATGGGGAAGACTTCTGGGCAAGTAGCTGGCAATGTTCCTTTCCAGGAGGGATGGGAATTGGGTAAGTATTTGCCTTGAATAATTAGTTAAGCCAGGCTGTATTTATGTTCCATGTGTTTTTCTGCATAAATATTCTATTTCATGGTAAAGGGAGGAAAAAAGTACCTTCCAATTTTTAAATTTTTTTTTGTAGATGGACACAATATTTTTATTTATTTTTATGTGTTGCTGAGGATTGAACCCTGTGTCTCACATGTGTGAGACAAGTGCTCTACCATAGAGCCACAACCTCAGCCCAGGACCCTCCAACTTTGACTTTAGTAGCCCATGCTAAGAGCCACAGCCAAGTAATATGATGCATGGCATTTTTGGTTGAAAGGTGACGCCAACAAGCCATTGAGATGATATGATTATGTTAAGATCTGCATTCATATGGATATTAGACTCCTGCTGTCCACCTCGGCCTGCTATGGGACTCCTGGAGAGTTCCCATTGGTTGGGGAAGTGCAGTAGGAGGGAATTCCGGAGGAGAGACTTCCTGTTGGGGTCCGGGGAGAACGCCCCGCCCCGTGGGGTCGGCAATCTTCTTGGGAGCCTCGGGGCATTGGCGGCAGTTTCAAAAATAAAGTTTGTTCCTGCTTGAGTGGCTTGTGATTTTGTGCCCAGCCAGACTGCGGCAAGCCCATATATCCTTCCTAAAGGCAGCTACAGATTATTCAAACACATGCTTACATGCATACTTGTGCACTCACATACTCACCTGTATTCTTTTTGTGTGTGTGATATTAGGGATTTAACCCAGGGGTACTCTACTTCTGAGCTGCTTTCCCAGCCCTGTTTTTTTGCAGGGGTGGGTGGGTGAGGTAACCAGGGATTAAACTCAGGGGCACTCAACCACTGAGCCACATCCCCAGCCCTATTTTGTATTTTATTTAGAGACAGGGTCTCACTGAGTTGCTCAGTACCTCACTTTTTCTGAGGCTGGCTTTGAACTTGAGATACTCTCGCCTCAGCCTCATAAGCCACTGGGATTACAGGCATGTGCCACTGTGCCTGGCCCCAGTCCTGTTTTTTATTTTATTTTGATATAGTTGCTGAGATTGACTTTGAACTTGCTACTCTCCTGCCTTAGCCTTCCATGTCACTGGGATTACAGGCATGAGCCACCATGCCCAGCTCCTATGTCCAATTATTTTTTTAGTTGAGACTTTTGAATTGTGCATATTCATGGGATGCCATTTTGATGTCCCAATAATCTGTATACATTATATATTGCTTAAGTCAAGGTAGTTGGAGTATCCATTACCTCATGCATTATGACAATAACATTCAAAAACTCATCTTCTAGTTATTTTGAAATATACAACACCTCATTGTGAAATGCCCTATATCCATTTTTAAATCCAAATGTTAGCATATAGTAAGAACTTCCAGGCTAGGGTGTAG